GGATTTCAACTATTTTATCTGCACAGAGTAATATCAAACTATTCTAAACAGGTTTAGCAGAATAAAGTATCCACTTAGGGACTTATATCAAGCTGGAACTGAATTATTGCAACTAAATCTGAAAGAAGCAAGCATCGGACTGCAACATAAATCTCATTTAATGCAAGTGATAAGACTCACTTATGAGTAAGTAGGCATCGGAATATGTTATTAATTATTCATTGAACAGCTGCTCGCAGTGATGAGAAGGCTGCCGATGGGAGGGTAGGGAATAAAATACCTCAGGTTGTAATCCTTTGCACACTTACACGTGAAGCCCAGAAGAACTTAATAGGATATCATTAGGAGTAACTGTGTTAGGAATGCACAGGTAATTCCAACTACTAACTTTTAACTTTTCTTCTTGTAGGTAGCATTAGATGGAAATGTTCCAGGCAAATGTATAGTTCATGAAGATTACACATATATTTAGTGTGACACATTCAGTATTCTTGCTTTACCTAAGGCTTTGCATTCTGTTTACAAATGCAGTACACTGGATATAACCTGAGGTTAACAACTACAACAATGTATGAACTTCAGGTAGGAATCAGTGAGTTAAAAGGCTAGCTGTCTAATTATTAATGTTGCTTTTATTATCCTTGTCAAACAAGGTTTGCAAATTTACTTCTGAAGATAGATATAATTCGTAACTCTGAACTGACATTTGGTTTAAAATTGGAGGTGTAAGAAGAACTAGGAGCACAGATGACTCTATAGTAATATGGATGGATTTCTGATGCCTCTGCTTTCTAGTTCTGCTAGTCAAGAATAAATTGCAGATGATCAGTCTTAAAAGATATTGACTAGGGCTTTGCTAACAAGCCATACCAGATGCTAAAAGAGAAATGAACACTATTCTTGTTATATATGTTCAAAGCTTTTAAGGTAGTTATAATGCAGTATGGTGATGTTATTCTGTCATGTTTTGATATAGAGCACGGGTATCAAACTCGCCACATCACGTGACGTGTCGTGACATATCGCAACTTATTTTTGCATTACCAGAGCTGGGGTGGGCACAGCCTTTGTATGATGCAACCAGCCTGCGGGTCGGCAGTTTGACACCCCTGATATAGAGAGAGTAACGAAGAGTGTAGCATGACTTCAATCTGACAGTCTTTTAAAGGTTTATATATACGGTTCCATGTCAAGCAAAAAGATGAAGTCTAGCAGAAAAATAAATTCAGCCTGTGTTTTAAGGCAGTTTCACAAACAAAATACTTACCATGGGACCTGGTGGGCCATCTTGACCAGGAACTCCAGGTAAACCTTGTTCTCCCTGCAAAAAGACATAAATTCAGCTTAATTTGGAAGAGCATGTTATTAAAACCTGAACCAAGAAAGGAAAAAAGTTATGATCGATGCACTCACCACAGGGCCAGGAATACCCCTAAGTCCTTCTGGGCCAGATTTTCCTGCAGGACCTTGAGGACCAACTGGGCCAGTTTTTCCCGGAGCACCCTCTGATCCAGGCTCACCCTATAAAATAAAATAATATTCACTGTGAATATTCATATACTGTTGAACCAATTTATTTACAGATAAAGAAAAAGTAAGTTGATAAGAATTCCACAACCAATACAAGAACTAATCCTTTACCTGAACAAAAGATAAGAAAAGTAGACATCATCTTAGTCTACTTTAAACTCATTTTGTTTGTGTATATGGGTCAAAAGAAGAAAATTATGAACCTAAACTATTTGCAGTGACCTTTTTTCTTGTATTAAGATCCTGACGTTCCTACAGCTTTCCATTTGTTTAGACCATACTCCTTCCTTTTCTTCTGAAATGTCTAAAGATTTGGACTGAAATAATATCCATTAGTTTTGGCCAACAGGAATGCATAGAATTTAATGCAAAAAAGAAGTGGTGATTGCAGTAAAAATACAACTGTTACAAGTTACCATTTGGATAAACAGACTATTAACAAGAGACAGCCTAGTAGAATAATGAGCATCTCAGTTGATAGCTGCTGATAGGACTGAAAAGCTCTTAGGATCTGATTCCAAAAAGGTGTTTTGGTGTGGATGAGAGAACATTGTCTGCGGCTTCTTAATGAGTACCTTTTCCTAAGATTGTGTGGCTGCTGTCTGCAGCCACATGATTCTGAGAAAAGACATTATTGCTTTTAAAAACGGAGACAGGTGCTACTTTCTTCTTCTACATGCTTTAAAACACCTGGGATTTTGGAACTGAAACTGAAGCATTTACAGTCCTAACAGCATTTACAGTGCCTCATCTTGTCATAAAAGCCTCACCACTTCTGGACAAATCAATCACTCATCTTTTACTCTTGATTTATGATTCATTCATTCATTTGTTTGTTCAGGTTTGAGATTGCTCAGCTCGACAAAACACTGGGAAGCTCACAACATTAAAAGCAAGAAATAATAAAACAGTAAGAATAAAGATCATGTACAACCAGAAGAAGTAAAGTTTTATAGGGATTCACACATCCTAGCCCAAGGCTTAGGAGGAACAGCCAAATTTTCAATGGAAGTCATATGAATGTGACCCCGGGCAGGGCAGAAACGTGTTTTTCTTGTAACTTAAAACATTTACCTTTGCTCCTTTTTCACCTTGTCTTCCTTCTGCACCAGCTGCTCCAGGAGGCCCCTGTCATAAAAATAAAATGGAGAAAAAATGTATATTAAGCATAATGAGATGAGTTAGAGTCAGACTTTATTTCTGCTTCATGAAGAGATACATCTCTTCCATAGAAATCTTCACAGGGAATGTTCTTCTGAAGGAGCAGAACAAAACTGTTGCTGATTTTGATCCACTATAGCCCTTGGTCCTCTTAAAAATCTCACCAAAGTTGGATTTTTCTAGCCAGAGGTCTCATTTTTTCCCCCTTTCTGATAACTACAAAGAACATGACTAATGAGATCAAAAATGGCAAGGCTCCATTTTTCAACCGCTGCTATTTTAGGATGGCCTTAGTACTTTGAGGTTTGTTAATAAAAATCTACTCTTTCAGGGAGTTAAATGTTGAAATGAGTGCCTTAATCTTCTACATTTGAACATCTGTTTTAACCCTTAAAATCACTAACTGCAACTCATAAAATTGTAAATAAATGTTATTGCCATTCACTCCATGGTTGTGTAGGAAGCGCAAAAGGATCTTAGAGAGCTAAATGAAGACTTGCAGACCGAGCTTTTCCCCAAGATGGCTACTGAACAGTAAGGAGATATTTTTTCTCTTTTCTTTTAATCTTTGATCAAAATATCCAGAAAATACCTTTCCTGTTTCCTTCTGCTTCACCTTTGTTCTCTAGTTAAGCTTCACAGAGCAACAATGTTTCAGATTACAGACAAGCAATGGCTGAAATCTGAGGAAAGATCTTCTGGCAACATGTAACTTTTAGCTGAAAGATTTTTTAAAAAGTTTGATGAGTTGATAATGGTCATGGAAAATATTTGGAGGCATGTAGCTTTGGTGGAATCTAATTTGAAAGCTGTAGATCAAAGAGATTTGATTCCATACATGCCCCTGAACTTCAAGTCTGCATTTGTCTACAAGTGACAAATTGGTGTTTCTTAAAAGGACTGGGGGAGATTGGGGAATAGATTTATTACTCTTAATTGCAAACCATTTTTATCTGGACTCTGTTGGGAAGATAGACCTATTGTGGAGATTGAATGTATTATTTTTAACTAGACAACAACTGATAAGAAATGGTATCAAGAAACAAACATGGATATTTGATCCAGGACAAATTACTCTTATCTTTTGTGACGATTTGGGATAGATAAGATGCCCTGACAAATTTTCTACAAGTTGATTACATTAACAGTTTATTAACAGAGGGTTTTGAAACGCTAATCTTGTACTTTTCATTATTATTGTTATTTTGCCATTAATATAGGAAGTCAATAGATTGCAAATGGGTTTACTAGCTTTAAAAAAAATGGGGGGGGGTCTTTTTTGCAAGGGGTGGGAACTAATATTGTAGCAACGTATTAATCAGTATTCAACCACAGGGAATAATATGTGTATATGTGTGGGGTTCTTTTTTTAAAATGTACTTTTAAAATGTCTTGTATGCTTTGTGTTGTTTCTTTGTTTTTTCTTTGTTGTTTTAAATTTTTTGGGAGTTTTGTATTTTAACTTTTTTTAAAATAAAAAAAAATTGCAAAAAAAGACTTGCAGATCATGAATTGCTTTAGAATATGAAAAGTGGGTGCTGTATGGACAATGAAAGATAAAACAACTTCTCCCCTCCCTTTCAGCCTGTGGATCCCTCTGTTGGGTTAATCATTTAGGCCACGAGTGTCCAACCTTTTGGCTTGTCTAGATTGTGTTAGTTGTCTAATTATTTAAGAAAATTTATATGGCTGAACATCTTAGTCTCAGTGACTTCGGGTGGCTTACAAAGATAAAAACCCAATTCATATAAAAAAGCAATAACCCCCCCTCCACCCCTCTGGTGATAACAATCAGCCAATCAGATAAGCCACTTGATGGGCTCCATCCCACTCTGGGTTCCTCAGGCCCATTGGCAAAGGCAAGCATTCAGGGCCTTGTGAAAGAATGTCATTGTCAGGGCCAATATTATCTCTGCAGGTATGATGTTCCATAGGGAGAGAGTCACCATGGAGAAGGCCTTTCTTCTTGGCCCCACTAGATGTACCTCCTCAGGAGAAGGGACCAATAGCATTTCCTGTGTCCCCATTTTGGTGGGTCAGGTGAATGTGACAGGGGAAAAGACGGTCCTTCAAATAATCTGGTCTCAAGCCATGTAGGGTTTTAATTGGACCCAGATTAAACAGCCCAACAGGCTAGAACAGTTCTAGTTCCTATTAAAGTTTAAAAGATAGCTTTATTTCATTCTTTGCATGACACATGCATCTAGCAGAACTGACAAGTCTAGCATTACAAGTCAGTAATGCATGTTTTAATGCTTAGCTCATGTATAAATATTATATATATGGACCATATCTCCTAGTTCTAGTGTGCAAAAGTTCAGAGTTCTAGGAAAAAAGTCTAGATGGAACACACTGACATTGTTCATACAACCCATGTCAGATATTAATAATATAATGTGAGAACCAAACATTGAAGCTGAAACATGTTAAAAAGGGACTCTTGGATTCTGTACAGATGGGAAATTGGAAATAGTCGTGGCTCTTTGTTGCAGGTTAAACAGTAACATGAAATACTGATAAATAAATAATCCAGGTCCTCTAACATTTAAGTGGGTTCCCATTTGCATTTTACATTCTAGGCCGATACATTTTTATTTGTATCCCACCTTTATTATTTTTACAAATAAGTCAAGGTGGTAAACATAACCAACACATCTTGCTTCTCCTATTCTCCCTACAAAAACACTCTTGCAAGGTAAATTGGGCTAAGATAGAGTGATTGGCCAAAGTCACTCAGCTGGCTTTCATGGCTAAGGCTGGAGTAGAACTCACAATCTCCTGCTTTCTAGCCTGGTGCCTTAACCATTAGACCAACATGACACATGCTTGACAATAAAATAATTTCCCTCACCAATGCCACACATATTTCCATCTTGGAACTTAAAAGTTCACAATGGATATTCAATATAATTTAGGCTAAGCTTAATAAAATTTTAAAACACCCATTATCGTTTGTAAGATCATTCCATACAAAAGTGAATTAATAAAAGCAAAGAATACAAAACCAGAATAAAATGAAAAAGAAAAAGAAAAGGGAACAACATATACCACATATATATCAACAAACTATAAACTCACAAAGTACTTCGCAAAGTACTATGTTGGAACTTAAACTTCATAATGGGTAGTCACCCATTATCATTTGTAAGATCATTCTGTACAAAAGTAGATTAATAAAAGCATGGAACACAAAACCCAAAAAAGAAAAAGGAACAACATATATCACATAGGTATCAAGAAAGTACTAACTCACAAAGTACAATGTTTTCAGTTGCATTTGTGATAATAAACCTAAGTTTACTGTGCATTGTATAAAAAGAGATTGTGTTACAAGAGCACTGATACAATATGTTATTTTACTATGTGAGACACACTTGAACAAGCTTTGAAATGGTTAGAGGAAATGATCTTAGGACAGGAGAAACAATACAAAACTTTATAATAATTATAAATGTACTTCTTGCATAATCTAGGAATGCAGCTGCAACATCAATTAACAGAGCTTGGGAACACTGTGATCGCTAAATTATAAATACAATGAATCATGATTGCCAAAACAAAGGGGAGGGGCTATATTCATTATCAAACAGTACCAATTCTGCACTGAATGCAAAGTTGGTAAATGAACAGCTCTTGTTAACCCTCATCAGTTGCCAGCATTGCACAGATGGAGCTTCTGAATAAGAAAGATGGCTAATTGTTATTTATCTGTCTTTGCTATGCTTAGATTGTATAGTATGGAGGAAAATTTTCGCTAGCACAAAATATCTCGGCAACAAGAACATGGAATTAATCTCTTTCTCTCACCTACCAAGTCTCCAAACTATGATCAAATTCTACCGAAATTCAATGAATAAGTCTGGATTAGATACTCTTTTTCAGTTTACCTATATCACAGGATACTTATGAGGATAACATGGGGAGAACCACTGTTGTTGGAAGAAGGGTGAGAGAAAAATAGAAAAGTCATCTGTAGAATTAATCATTAAGATGACTTATGCATAAAAACTATGCCCATAGAACCAGACTTGGAAATCATTTTTTGATTGAGTGGGCAAAGATGTATATCACAAATGTGGGTAGGGTAAGATTTGCTGGTCCCCTCTCCACGTGTTCTGTTTAGGATGAAGAATTCTTCTACATTAGAATTTACACTACAGTTGTATAATTTCCAGCTCAAAATGGAAGGAAATTGTACCACCATTGTTTGGCATTCAGAAGAGACCCACAAAAGGGCATTTGAGGATTACTTGTGGTCTTGAGGCAGTGTCACAGACTACACTGATTCCTCTCTAATCTTGTATTGTCGATCCTGATCATGTTTGTTATTTGCATCAGAAGATTCTTTTTCCAATTATTTTGATATGTTATCATACAAATCCAGATACATACAACAAAGCCCACGGGAAATATTTTATAATGCAAAGGCTTACTTACATGTGTGGATTTCCTTTTGGGATTAAAACATTTGTTCCATGAATTTATGATGTTATTTGACATGCTGATATGAAACCATTTATCAAACACAGGTTGATAAATACAAAAGTTGATACAGTGGATGGAGGCAACTTTTTCACGGTGCCCTCTGTATGTTAATATTGTAAAATAGTTTATCTCCATCTCATTCGTCAACTTGAAGGTTTCTCTTGAAAACTTGTTCAAATGCTATTCAGAGTCATCCGTCAGCTGACTGAAAATATGCTTGTTTAATGTTTAAAAGGAAAAGTGATATTTATTATTTATAAGTGCATAAACATGATATGGCTATTTGTAAGACTGAGAACACCCAGCAAGTATTGGGTTTTCTCTGTTACATTTTCAAGAAGAATAAAAGAGATATTCCTCAATTTACAAGTGTCAGAGATATCTAGCTGAGGTTGCAATATCACCTTGCAAAATGGAATAAGCAAAACCCAGGACAAATCATTGATAAGATTTTTCTCATACTTTTTTACATTATATTTAAA